ATTTCACTTATATATTTTATTTTATCTCATATCTCTTCATATTTTTAATTATTAAATATTATTTTAATATTAAATTTTAAAATTATTAAATATTTAAAAATTAGTTAATATTTATTTTTATAAAATTTAATTTAAGAATTTTAACATATAAATATATTTTTAAATCAAATTTACCATGGTAGAATCAAATTATCATATTCAACCCAACAATTTAAAATTTTATAAATTTTAAGTAACTTATCTAAACAAAATATTTTAAGAATGATAAAAATTGAAATCAAATAATTCAAATACCAAGAATTTAAAATTCTTTGAATTTGTAAAATTCCTCGTCCAAACACACCATTAGATTAATTAAGTAAGAGAGAATTTAGAATTTAATCAAGTGAGAGAAAATTAATCTAAAAGTTATATTTTAACCCTCTCATCTCTTATAATAAATTCTCTCTCACTTGATATGCTCCTTATATATATATAAAACCTTCTAGTATTTTCTAAAATTGAATTCTTAGAAGCAAAATATGTTTCCTTGTGTTATCTGTTTTCTGTGAACTACCACATTCATTGTCATTAAAATGATGATGTTAAATTATCAATGATTTGAAAATTTCCCTAGCCGTACACTTTAGATAAATAGTTCACTGATATGCTAATGGTGTCCATCTGTCCAAATCTAAAATTCTCAACAAGCTACTATGAGAACATAGACTTTGATAATCTGTTTTGGGGCCACCTCTATTATATAAACTTGTTCTTCAATAGTTTCGGTCAATTCCATTATGTAATAAAATTTGACTTGATCCTTCTCATTGTCCCTGGCCATGAAATTTTAAGTTTCCATACAGAATCCTCTTTCCTTCTACCATAGGAAGAGTTAAACTAAAGAGCATATTATGGACAAATGATGAAAAGATTCATTCCTTCTTGAAGGACATTAAGATGCACATGATATATATGCATCTTCAGAAAACATCATCGTTAAGCGAAGTTGTATTGTAATTAGTAATTAACAAACAAACTGCTGAAAACAAACCAAGTGCTTTCAAGTGAAACCAAAATGATGCACAAATCTCGTTGCAATAAGAACGGTCTCATTGTACATGGGAACATTTCAAGCAAACTAAGACAGGAGAAAAACTGGTCCTTTTCAAAGAATTGCGTTGTCGGGAGTTTTATTAGAAAGGAAGCACACCGAAATACAGCACATAAAAAAGCAAACCTCCCAGGCCATATTGCAATACTCTTACATGAGAAGGGCCATGTTCACAGACCTTGGTTCATGCTTCTCACCAGCATCCAAAGCCAGTATCCTAAAAATCTACACAGTCTCTAAATGTTCTCTGAACACCTTCAACATGTTAGAAAATGTGACAATGCCAACTAAGCTACAATCATCCTCAATAACCCACAAGTAGTTGACCCTATGAGCAATGGCCTGGATCATGACAGCAACAAGGGAGCTCTTGGGATGGCAAACTATAGCCTCAGCCTTCCTTAGCATCCTGGCTGAGTAGCTAGATGACCTTGTGTACCTTCCAGCCCTAGCCAGTGTCCTTGTTGGAGACTCCTCATCAGAGGAAGAGGATGCTGAAGTCTCACCCACCATACATGACAAAATGGTGAAATCTTGCAACATTTTCTCCAAATTCCTCTCCTTCAACCTGGCCTTGACCACTCTCACAAGATCCTCAGGAGGGTCACCACAGTCAATGTAGGCCATCAGGTCCCCGGCAGACAGGGTGGCGACCGCGGCGGCGACAGTCTCGTCGCAGCAAGCAAGGGTGAAGGGTGAGATCTCCCCAATGAAGGCCCCATCAGTGTCCACAATGGCAACAGAGGTTTGTTGAGTGAGGGACTTTGAGATGGCTCCAACTGCAGAAGATGCAGGGGAGTAGTAGTCAACGGCCAGAACATCAGAAGTGATGATGCCAAGAGAGTCAATGGAGAGTGCAGGGAGTGGAGTGAAGAGGCCAATGGAACCAAGAAGGAACCGAATCACGTCCTCTTGAGTCAACCAGCAGAACTCACGACCATTGTGGCTTGAATTTGAAACCCCACTCTGATGCTGTTTCCTTCTTGAAACTCCACTCCTCTTTGTTGCCACTATTGGCACCACAAGATTCTGTGCACCTTCCAGTATCAGATCAATAGCCTCCAACAAGCTGAAACATCATAACAACAGACCAACAAGGGTTAAAATCAACAAATTCAAGACAGGTTATAATTAATTAATTAATTAAATAAAAAAATCAACCTTCCCCCTTTTGTTTTTTCCAAAGGTTTTTTTTTTTTCCCCTTCAAATAATATCTCTGGATACTTTCAAACTCTAAAGCCTTTTCTTTTTTAAACACACATAAGTGTCGGAATCAAATTAAGACCACATGATCCAAACCCCATTCACTTGGACATTGACTTAAACCAACACATGTTATGAATCATCCCTGCATTTTATTCCTGGGATGTAATAAAATATTGGTTTAATTACTTTTATTCAGATAAACTTAACCTTTCAAAATCCTACAGTTTCTATTGCTATCGTGAAATTTATGAAATTATGGAGACTTTATAAAGATTAAAGTATATGATTAAATCTAAAAATGTTATTTTTTTTAGCACAAAACTCAAACCCAGTTAAATTAGAATGGAGTAAAATGAAAATTGAAAAGAGGTAGCACCTAGAAGAAGGTTGGAGATGCACGACGAGAGAAGGGTCCTTAGGGAGAATAGAAGAAAGGGGTTTGTTGAGAGCAGAAGAAGGAGACAAGAGATTGTCCTCTTTGCAAAGGTAGCAAATAACATCGACCATGCACACTTTCCCCACGCATCGGCAATAGCCAACGTCGTCGTTTCGGTGGTCGCAGCTCCAGACGCTGATGAAGCTCTCGTCGGAGCCTTTGAGCGCGGCCAAGGCGTCGGCGACGGTGGCGGAGGCGGAGAGCGACCTGAGCGGCGGCTTGCCAAGGCAGAGGTCGGATACCTCGCACACGAGAAGGGTCAGTGCCATGCAAAGCTTGTGTCTCCGGGGAGTGGAATGCGGCGGCGCGTGGCGGTGGTTGGGTTGGTGGTGGTGTGGAGAGGAAGAGGGAATGGGTGGTATTTATAAAGGTGATTAGAGGGTACGGTACTGAGGTTGAGGTACAACCAAGTTGTGGGCCTCCTTCTCTTTTCTTTCCACATAAATTAATTCATGTACTTTCCAAACTCCACCCAAAAGAAAACCATCTTTTATTTTACACCAATATTCACTACCTCCACTTTTTTAGTTAGGATCTTGCTCTTCTTTTTTTTTTTTAATTAATTTTTCAAGATCAATAAAATTAATAATATCCTCATTTAAAATTTTATTTAAAATAATACTCACATTTCTTATATTATTTCTTATATACAAAATGGATGTAGTGTGATTTATTTACATCTTCTTATTAATAAGTATGTAAATAATGTGATAGGTGTGTTTGAAATAATTTTATGATTCAGATTTGTTGAGAATACGATGTCAAAATAGTGAAATGATGTTTTTAATAATTTTTTTATAGAATGTAAATTTATCGATTCGTATTTGATGGTATAACACTAATGATCATATATATCAAGTTTTAAATGATTTGGACTCTTTTAAATAAATTATTTAACAATAGATATTCACATGTATTTTAAATACTATTTAATATTTTAAAAATGATATAATTAATTATTAAATACTTTTAGAATTTAATGTTATTTTTTATCTAATTAGTAATATCATAAATACAACCCGTTGGATCAATTAAATATGTATTCAACAAAAAAGTTATTGAAAATCTTATTTTATTAATTTGACACCTGTGTGTATTTTACTTACTCCAAAAGTAAGTATTTATATATTTATTTCACTCAATAACTTAAATATATTTTTAGTCTCTCAAATTTAAAATTATTATATTTAGTCCCTATAATTTTAAAAAATCTTGTTTTAGTCTTTTTGTTCACCAATAACATATCTAAAAATAGTAAATTGAGGCAATTATTTAATATCAATCGGATTTAATGTGATGTTTTCATCAATAAGCACACCAATAAATAGGTTTTATGCAACAATATTTGATAGATTTTTAAACAAAATTTAAGTATAAAGACTAAAATAAGAATTTTTGAAATTATAAAGACAAAAAAATTAAATAAATTTAAGGGATTAAAAGTATATTTAAACATAAAGAAGTATTTAATAAGTTAATTCTTATAAAATAAAATGTCTTTTTATATAAATTTAAATAATTATTTTGAATCATAATGTTTTTAATGACCATTCCTTAACAAACGTTTTTAAATTATTTTTCCTCAACGAAAATGATTTTTGAAAATTTTCATTTTTTTAACATTTAAATGTTTTCTTGAAAAAAAATATCTCGTTGCTCGACAAATAAGATAGAAATGAACATAAGAAAAAACGTTAGGATTAGTGAGAGAAAATGGAAAGGCATAAGGAAGAAAAAAAATGTTTTTCTTAAGATTTTTGTTTTTCACTTTTATTATAATTCCTCACGTATGATTCCAAATAATTATTCACTAATATTAAGAAAATTTATTTATTTATATTAAAATTTATAAATATGTCTTAAACTTTTATTTCTTTTCAAAAATATCTCTAAATTAATGAAACACTTATATATGTTTTTATTTATTTATTTTTTGTATTCTAAGAACATTATTTGTAGTTTAAGAAACATACAGTAAATGAATTATACTTATTTTTTGAACTAAAAAAATTTAATAAGAATATTTTTGTAAAGTCAAAATTAATGTTTGAGACATAATATAATGAATCTTATAAAAAAGATCAAAATTTGTGTTCTATAATAAAAATCATATCGAGTACTTTTTATAAAACTAAGTTACTCAATTCACTAAGAACATTTTTAAGAATACACTTCAGTGATTTTTTTTATCTTAATTTTTAGTTTATGAATATAGTTTATGTAATATCTCAAAATTAACAATTAAGAATTAATTTGTGTTTATAGAACATAACTTTTACTAACCAGGCATTATCTTAAACAATATTGGTAAATATCGATCCTAAGAACACCAAGTTACCTTCTATAACTTAATATAGGTCTTACAACTACTAAATCAATAAGTTTGGTTAGTGAATTTTTTTTAAATTAAAAATAATAAATTTGTGACACCCTCTATCTCGCATGTCATAACACATAATACAATATAAAATTGAATAACCTCAATATAATAAATAAACTCAAAGTTTACATAGGTAAAGGGAAATAAAAATAATTACAACAGAAATAAAAATTAAACTACTTAAAGTAAATAGCAAAAATTAAATCCTAACTAGTCTTAACTAATTCCTTAGTGTCACATGTTTAATCAGAGCAAAACCCAATATTGATGACTAAACCTCATCACTAACATTCTCAGCACCATGTTGATTATTTGCAAAAATCACAAGATAACATAAAAGAAAAAGGAGTGAGAAACATCTCACTCTGTCAGGAATGCAAACCGGCTAGTTAAACACAAACAACATATACAACATGATATAGTATATACAATTACACATCATATTTAACTCATTCATAGCATAGTAAGCAACAATAGATAAGATTATAATGCATATGTAATGGACACGAACTATATGTTATTATGCATGTGACACCAATAAAAATATCACATTAGAGTAGTCTAGGAGTACATGCCGAATCACACCCTTTGTACACTTTCACTAGAAAGACATACTATCAGGGTATGATTGAGATAGTTAAATCGTGCAAGATACATACCATGCTCATGAGGGTAGGGCTGGGATTTCCAAACCCAACTACCCCCAAGGTTGGTTCCCAAGCTTTTACATAATGAACTTTCCTTGGCAGTGTATTCCATATTGTACCTTTACAAAAACATTTTATGCACATAATGGATGTCAAAGAGACTCTATGCATAACATTTCACATTATCTCATTAACTCATTGTCAACTAATCTCATATCATAAAATCATTAATCATTCTTAATATAGTAATTAACATTTTAACCATATCAATTAAATATTAGTAATTAATGACATAAGGAATCACATCACTACAATTCGCACATAGCTCATAAGCATATCAATAACACATTCACATACAACATTTTCATAACTAAATCTTCTACGATATTGCAAGATCCAAACACCTTAGTTAGAGTTATATATATGTTATTAAGTTGATCTTAGTTTTCTTAGAAAGCTGAGACATTTATCTCCAACTTTTATGTTGACCTCAAGAGCTAAATATGTCATCTATTATTTTAAATAAATACAAAACTGCAACGTTTTAGCTTAAATCTCACAGTTTGACCTTTGCTTACTAATTTAATCATAACTTAAGTTATAGACATTCTTTTTAGGTGATTCCAACAACATTTGAAAGCTAACATCCAAGGCTATAACTTTTATGAAGATTACAGAATCGAATTCTGTCAAATCAATGCATTCCCGCAGGATTTTCTAGTAAACTTATATAGATCTCAAATCATACAATTACAATCTCAAAACATGAAATCAATCATCCATTCAAGTAATTCATAACATTAATTACATACAAGAAGAACAAAAAGTGAAATAGACATAATTAAGGAAAATCTCTTATACATGAACATGCAACAAACACAGGATTAAGGGTCAATCTCACTATTCGGCATACAAACCCACATCTAGAGTGAGGTTACTCACTCTCCCCTTTAGTTGGATAAATTATAGATGATGGGTGCACGACTTTGGATGATTCCCTCCCTTTTCCTATTCTCTGAGCTCTAAGACGAGTATGTGAAAATAGAGATGTACGAAGATGTGATCAAAAAATTATTCTTTTAAAAATCTCGACCTTCTATTAACTCTTCTTCAATTAAAATACTTGACTATAGTTACAAATTCCTTTTCTTAAATAAATATTATAATAACCTTTAATAAAAAGACTATATATTATATTCACAAATATAATAAATAATTAAATAATTATCTAATAGTGCCTATTAATAAAATAAAAATATTAAATTATTAATAAAATACTTATATTATATTTTATAAAAAATGGGGTGTTATAAAATCAAACACTACTTAAAAAAAACTAGTATTAAATGTCTTTCTTTTAGTGATGATTATAACTCTTGGACTTCAATGTGTTTAATTTGTTTTTTTTTTGTTTTCTATTTGTATATGTTTACTTATTTCCTATGCATTTGCAAAGGATCATATTTTAATAATTAATTATTAATAAAATTAATAAATATTCCAGTTTCAATATTTTAGTTAACTTTCTTTTTTGAACAATCATCTTAAGTTATCAATTTTTAATAAATTAATTATTAAATTATATCAATTTTTTTAAATATTAATTTAATAAATTAGCATAGATTCATGACTAAAAATATCACTTTATCTTTATAAAAACTCATGGAGAAAAATATAATACCTCCTTATTAAAAAAAACAAAAAAAAATATTAATTTTCTAAATTAATCCTTGAGTTTAACCAAATTTATTCCGATCACTAGTTTCTTTTTTTACAAATTCTACTTAAACAGAGGATTCTCTTTAGATTGTATAATCATTAATTAATAAATTAATAAATAATAATTAAAATTATGATTACATGAATGTATATGTATAATAATATTACAAAAAAAATTGTTTAATGAAATATATAATTATGTAAATATCTATAAATTAAATTCCTCCCACAGGTTGATTTCATATCCTATTATATGAATTTAAAGGTGTTCATCCGATTTAATTAATCTTACAATCCAACAATTTGAATCGAACTAATTAAATTGATTCATTTTTTTTATTGGGGTCCAATTCAAAATAAATCAATTAAACTTAATATTGATTGATATAGGTATCAGATTTATATATTTAAAATTTGAACGAATATGAATTAAACTAATTAATTTATATATAATTATTTTTTATTATTTATTTGATTAATAATTAAGATGTACTTATTATTTTGAAGATATTTTGTGTTATAATATGTAAATTTTTGTATTTATTTTTTTAAAATTTTAAAGAAATTAAGAGAAATTATATTGTAATATATTAAGTATGATTTTCACATAACGTAATGCATTTAAAATCCTTAAGTAGATTAAGAAGAAAAAAATTA